TCAAGTCTGTTCGCAGGATAGACGTACCCATGACATGTATTCATCTTATTTCATTTATGAGGATAAGGGGATTGGTGATTCAACGAAACGAAGTAGAATTACTACATATCATATATATGATCTACTGCTAGTCTCGAAAGTTTACTTATAAACGAAAAGTAGACATATCCTCTCTTATATTCCTGTGTTCTTTAGTTTCACTTCAATATATTCGCTTTACTATCATCTAATCATAGTATAAAGTTTTCTTTGCTTGAACTTCCTTGAATTTCCGCCCCTTAGAGACATCCGAGTCATTATAATACTCATGCATTTGCTTTTTACTAATTCGGGCACATTGTTTCATCCCGAGTTTAGTCAGTTTAATTGACTCGCGATGGGTAGAATTTGACACCGCTACTAAAAACCAGACCTGTATCAAAGCGTTAAAAACAGTTGTGTCATATGCTATTGAAACATTTTATTATCTGGCTGTCAACGGCTTATTTCTTGTGGATGGAACTTAAAGTATTTCGTTCCTATCTTACATCCACGAATATTTTTCGTTAAGCATTCGAGGCCACTAGCAACTTGAACGCTCTTTCTTTTTAATTAACTTTACTACTTACTAGTAGTGTATACATTATCATTTTATTCTCAGTTCACAAGCCTTAAATCAGTGGGATTTGTAATAATTATTCGTTTTTTGCACAAGAGCTTAGTTCTTGTAGAAATGTAGGCCAAGATGGGGTGGCCTTTTATTTAGTTGCAGTCTCCTTTAGTTGTATAATGTCGGTTTTATTTCGTATTTGCCATTTGGCCGGAGCCACAGGAGACCTTGTGAAACGTACCTTGTCCTTCGTCATCTGTCATAGTATTCATGATTTCCAGCATCGGACCGTTGACTTGATACATTGCCATGTACCACAACTTAGTTATCATAGGTTACTTAAGGTGATTAGAGGGTTACTAGCTGAATTTTTCTACGGAGAAGTGAGGTGGTCTTAAAATGTCTTTGAACCCCACTTGCCTCCAAAAGGTTTTCCTATTTATGATTGATTTCAGTTTCGATCTCCCCTAACTGGAAGATAAATCGAATCGTGCGCATTTCGCTACGCAACCTTAAGTGCAAGTGGGTCACAGGGCAGATTCGAATTTTAATGCTTAGTAGGCTCCCCTAATGTTTCCTCTATATTGCGACTGTCGATAAGGAAAACTTCTATTTGTCCTTGCAATCGGTGACAGCATTTCTGTTTACGAGAGATGCTTTTAGAGATAATTAGTAATTTTTTATTAGGAACTTAATTGCTCTAGGTCGGTTAAAGTGATGTCAATTTATTCATTTTTGGCTCAGAGATTTTAGACTTTTTTCTAGTTCACTAACAGATGATCTTCATTTAAGTGATGAAGACTTGCTCTCGATCGCAAATCTATTCTGGAGAGACAGTGTTCCTGGACAATATACGGAAAGTTTGTTTAAATATGTCTTTGCTGTGTAGCTTTATGTGTGGCTGTCTCCCTTTTATCGCATTTGATTACTTCATTCTAGTTAACATAAGGGAGATTCACTCAGCACTAAATCATAGCCTTTCAGAGCATGTTTAGTCTCATTGAAGATAAATTCTCTAATGCCGATTATGCTTTTCCTAGTGAATCCACCTGGCATTGCTGTTCTGGATAAAAACATGAGCCTGTTGACACAGGGTACATTATCAAACTTGTTCTCTGAGCGCCATACGGGACAGGGTAGTTTAACTCGCCCTCAATCTAGCGTCTTGCCCAAAGCTCTGGATCTATTTGAACTTGGGTTGCAGGTAAAGCTTCATGCATTATCGTCAATCTGTATGATTATTAGGAAAAGAACGTATCTTGTTGATTTATTAGTGCATAGGCTATACGGTTATCTGATTCTCTGAATGGCTGAAGTCAACTTTCTGAAGTAGACTCTTGCATGCTTTTCGCCTTTAAAGTGCTTCTATCAACTTCAGGGGAAAGATGTGACGAAGGCTGGAAGTAGCAGACATGTGTTCCTAACTTAAGACGTTGTAAGAGGATTCTCCATCCATCTATTCTTTCGTTTTCTGGCAGGACTTGAAACCTGATGTCCACGACGGAATGATGACCATCGATCCCTGGCCGGCCCATACATCAAGTCGCTTCCGCGGCACGACTCAGGTTGCCATGCCTAAAAACAATCGACTTCTGTTCCAGCCAGAGAAGCAATCAAGTAGGTGTTTTAATAAATAATTCTGCACTCGCTCGCTACCTCTACCTCTCCCTCTCTTGTTATTATTTACAGCACTTGTTAGTTTCTTTTCATCACTAAACATGTTCTCGTTTTGAGATCAGTTTGTCACATTTGCTTCAGCTTGACTTTGTGTTTTGCCCACTGCCCATAAGAACAACAGCCCGCTTACAAGCCGAAATTTCTCGAAATTTTGGAGTCGAAAATTGCCAAGGACAAAACTCGCTATCATGTGGACGACACGTCACCGAGTCCTCTGAAACTACAAGTAAGTCAGAGTATGAATTTAAGCCTTCGGATGCCTGATTATTCATTCTTTAAACTTGTGGCTTGAGTACATTTTGACTATTCCTAATTCGAAATGGGGGAGTGAGAATTTAATTTTTCATCACTTAACTTAATTTTGTCTTTAGCCTCCTCATAAACTCCTTGGCCAAACAATCTGAATATATATATATATATATATATATATGCGTGTATGTATTTTATTTCCTCTCTCTTTTGGACTTCTTGAGAATTCGTTTATTTTGATTGGTCTGGTAGCCTAAGTGAGTCGTTAAAGTAACGTTTTTAATCCTCTGAACAGCATACGATTAATCAGCATCCTAAATTCCTACATACAATTAAAAAGCTGGTTTCGAAATGCAAGTCTTCACAACAATCCTAAATTATTGTTTATTTTTCTAAGTGCTCTTTTTCTACTCAAGTAGCTCAATCTACTCCGATCCAATTTTGTTAATATGTAGAAAACCAAGTTTTCGAAGAATTCCTTAATAAATTCATCTTAGTACTTTTCATTTCGTCTGAAGAGAAGAGTGGAAGGGATACTTAAGTTGGACTGACCGAAAGCTATATGGGGATTGTCTTGGAGCTGTGATTGTAGATTTGTGCGAAAAGGTCCTTGGCTTACCAGCCTGCGACCCCGATGAATTATTGCTGAGCTTTCGTCCTTCATGTGGCGGACATCGTCAGAGCAGGACATCATGCTTTACGATAATTCACCAAGCAAAAATACAAGTAAAGTGGCTTGCTGCAATCCTATATATTTTTTATAGTCTAGCTATCTCCACATGGTGAGACATTTCATGATTTGCTTGGAGATCCTATGCTTTTCCTAAATGCTGTTGAAAAGTGGAGTGACTGCGAATGCCATGTGAAGTGGATGAAATTGAAGCGTTAAACGGATGCGATTGTGACCAAACAGCTGCATTATGTTTTACATAATCTATCTTTTTTGAGATATGAAGAGAAGCTGGGTTTTGAAGAATAATTTAATAGTTTGATACTGGCGTACCCTTCATTTCGTTTGATAAGGCGGGTCGAAGGGATTCTTAGATTGGCCTCATGCATATAGTCTGCTCAAGTCAAGTCTGTGGCTTTCTTATGCCATAGTCTCTTGTGTGCCCACCCACAAAAAATTGACAGTCCTAGTTGATTCGAATAGGCTCACTGTAGACGCCTCTTCTTGGTTTCCGATTATTCCTCTCTGGTCTCTTTGTAATTTCTTTTCCTAAAATTAAAAATATTACCCTTGTCCGGTCGTCTTCCCTTTGCACGCCTGATCTTCTCCGAGTTTGCTTAGGCAGTATGCAAAGTCTGTGCTAATTCTGCCACTTTCAGGTCTCTTGTTAATTAGATTTATTTCAGTCAGAATCTCGATGGTTTCTTGTATCTCGCGTCTTCTCGTATTTTCCCCATATGCAGCAGGCCTTTCCGTCGATTTTCAATTGATTTCGTGTCCTGTCTATGCAATGTGTTCCGATATTTCGGATATTTTCGTATTAATGTTTCTGCAAACTCTTTGATGTTCCTTGATTCGTAGGCTGATTTTTCTTCCCATTTCATCAATATACTTCTGCTCACAGTTGCCGCATTTGATGCGATAAACTCCCGAGCAATCCAGTTTGTCATCCTTCTCGTTTTACGTTGGCAGGCTGGCAAAGGGTGTCGTCTTCTTCTTTGTTATCACCTTGTTATTTCATTGTCTTAGTAATGGGCGCAATTTAGGATCAGTTCATAGGAAGACAAGCACATCCACTTTTAGTCGTCTTCCCGATTCCCGATCTTATTTTTATAAAATCAAAATTGATTTCTGCTCCTTATGGCCCCTATATTTCTCTATAACTTCTTCGGATTACCCATTACTAAGGCAAATCCAAATCAGTTTGTTCTACTTCTTTTCCAGAATCCCATCTCCGTTAGTCTTAAGTTTCTGATGATCAAACTCCTCAATATTCATATCTTCAATCTATAGTTGTGATGAGACGGGAACTTCAGAATTATTCCCGTATGCGATTTCTTTGTAAAAAGTCTCTTTATGAGTGTCCCTTTGGACTGCTTAGCCTCAATATCCACGAAAGATAGTCGTTCATTCTCCTCCACTTCCATTGTGAATTTACTTCTTCCATCAATTTGGCTTATAAAATTAAGGTACTCATCCAAATTTTTCTTGCAATGTCACCAAAGTGGAAAGTAGTTGGCGACAGTGATGGAGTGAAATCTCAGAACCAAGCAGATTAGGGACAGATATTATGAATCTTGGATCAACACACCCAGTTCAGTGACGGGGGGGGATGAAGGAACCAACGGGGAGTTGAATAGGTCTCATTTGATCTGGTCCAAGGTGCATACCTCAACTAGTTTTAGATAAATAAGTAAGAAATTGTGATATTGAAGGGGTGATACGAGGATATAGGATAACTGAATAACCCGGGACAGATAAAGAGATACCACAAATTTTTAGTAGACAATTGGTCAAAGATTTGACTTGTATCCTTGACGGGTTATAGTGTGGTGCTAAGACTAGCTAGATTCACTGGCGATGCCGGTGAAACGTCTGGTAATGTACCAAGTCCACGGTCAGACTGTGTAAATTATCATGCATTCTATAGACTCTGGAAAAGCTACATTCCTCTAAGTCTTCCTGCCAATATGACCAAGTTGCGAAAACATGGTAAAACAATTTTTATATAACGAAAGGAGATCGCGATCATACAAAAGGCCACACCATCTTGGTCTTCATA